CTCCGATTGGCCGCGCCGCCGGCTCCGTCCCCKCGCCCTCGAGCGCTGATTGGCTGCGGCCACACTACGCCGCGTTTCGGTTGGTTCGTTACGAGCGACCCGCCCACCCACTCCGGCTGGCGGCGGGGCGCTGTGATAGCGCAACAAAATTGTCTATCAACAATAAAGGCGGGGCTAGAGGTGGAATGGCGATATGATAGGCTGTWGGAGATGTCCATCATTRTTAGGGGCGGGGCTKGMKSCAGCGRGGCTCTGTGATAGGCTGTGGGAGCTGTCCGTCACCGCTCGGAGCGGGGGCGGTGGGAGGTGAAGGGGGAAGGGCAAAGGGCGCGCGGGTGTCATGGAGACGGGGCCCGGCTCTGAGGCGGCCCTGCTCGGACAGCCCCGCGATCAGCCCGCCGCGYTTGTGCCGCGCTGCAGCAGCTCCTGGGTTAGGATGAACCCGCTCCCCTCGCGGTGTCCGCCAGCCCGCGGGGCTGCGCTTGGCTCCGGCGGCGCCTCATCCCCTCCTGCCCAGCACGGCCGTGTAAGTCCAGCCGAGCAGCTGCGCGGACATCCCCAAAATCACGGCCAGACGGTTCGAGGGAACGCGTTCCTTTCAGCCTGCCCTGCACGGCCGTGGCAAAGCCTTCTCCTGCGGGAATTCTCCCTCCGCTGGCTCGTAAGGGTTTGGCTGCGGGGGCAGGAGCGTTAGAAGGGTCTCCTCCCGGTTTCACCGGACACCGGAGCCTCCTGCCCAGCCCGGGGGTTGCGGKACGACAGCTCCACCCTGTGCCGTGCCCGCTGCCGCCCGGGAGCACCGGCRCGCCGCGTTTGTGCAGTGCCAGCTCAGAAGAACCACGATGCCCTTGCAGCCGCCTCCAGCCTCGCTGCCTGCAGGGTCAAACCCTTTGGCAAAGGGATGGAGCCAGGCTGGGATTGTACGTGGAGCACCAGCTCCGACACCTGAGCAGTTATTTTGAGGCAGGGTAGGACAAATCCACAAGTTTTGCCTTTCCGGATAGCTGCTGGCACTGCATGGATCCCAAAGCATCCCGAGCCCGTTTTGGGGGGCCGAGCAGGGTCATAGCCCCCGGGGTCCCAAAGAGTCAGAGCACAGCGATGCTCCAGGGCTGGTTTATCTAAGGGATTTGAGCCTGTGAAGGGTCGGGAGGAGGTTCCAGGTGCTCCAAAAACAGGGTGCAGAAGAGGGGGCTGCCCCACTGAGACCCCCACTCATGCCAGTGCCACCCTTCTGTCCTCCCTCAACGGCTTCTGTCATGACACCACCCAGCCCTGGGTGATTTACTCCAGTCTTGGCACCGAGTCCAGAGTGCTGGAGCCCATCCCCCAAATTCTGGTAAGTGCTGTGCATCCCCTTCCCGAGGTGTTCCCAGCAGTGGGAGGGCAGGATCGGCTGGAGGAGCTCCTGGCACTCCRCATTCTGCTCCCTGCCCATCCCACTGCCTGTCCTGCTCCCTGTCCCACCAGGGTGGCAGGAAAACAATCTTCTCCGAGGGCAAAATCCTGATCGACCCTTTAGGAATGGGCCACTGGAGCAGGGCAGGCCAGGGGCTCATATGGGGTGTCCTCAGGAGCTCCATCGGGGCTGTGGGTGCATCAGGTAAAGGCAGAGGGGCTCTTGGGCTTTCCAAAATATTTGCCCCTGCTAGGTCACATCCCTGGCCCAGCACTGCCAGATCCCTGCATGGGACAGGATCTGCCTCTTCCCGCAGCTCCGGGGGCAYGGAGCCAGCTGGGGGCAGGGCTCCGCACCCGTCACCCCACACCCCATGGAAAGTCAGGGGATTTCCAGGCTCTGGGACAAAAAAACAGGAACTGGCAGCAGGCAACAGCAGCTGGCACACCTCGATGTGGAGCTGCTCTGCTGCAGAGCCCATGAGATCAGGGCYGCAAAATTCCCATCTTTGACTCCATTTCCTGAGACTGAGTGTCTCACAGGCACCAGCTGCTTGGGAAGGGCTGTTCCTGGAGAAGCCAGGCTGTTTTCTAGGGACATTGGTCCAAACACACCAGGGAACAGCTCAGCCATGTCCCCACACCTCCCACCAGTGTAGRCACAGAACAGCCCCAGTGCTCCCAGTCTGACCAGCTTGGACCAGCATCACTTCTCCTTCATCCCCATCTTGCACCTTCCTGTRTGAATTGGGATCTGGGCTGGGATGGAAGAAGGAGATCCTTCTGGGGTTGGTGGTTCTGAGGGGAGGCTTCTCCAGTGCTGGATGGATCCCTATGTGTTCTCCCACTTTATTTATTTATTTGTATTTGTATCACACCAAATAAAGAACTGGAGGGGGGGGGGGCGGATTTAAAGCCATATAAGAAAGATATTTTGGAAAGTTGACAGGATTGCCTTGATTAATTACTGTGTGCAAATGAATAAAGCATGGGAGCAGTGGGATTAGTAGGGAGAAAGAGACTGAGCCCCACATGGCTGTCACAAACCTTCCTGGTTCTCCCTTTGCCTCTGGCATGAACCCAGTATTCCCAAGGACCCAGTGTTAACGTGGTTCCCATCTGCCAGCACTTCYCTTCTTGGGGATAAATCGGTTCCCTCTGGCTGCTGCTGTGCTGGTGTAAAAACAGACCCATCTGGGAGGCTTTTGTGTGACCCCTTGGGATTTTGTTCCTAACCTGGGACTGCAAAGAKGGCATGAATCCAATGCAAGCAACGGGAAATAAAAAATATTACAACGTCGGGTGTGGAGAARGCGAATGAGGAGCCCGGGATGGCCAGAGCAGGTCATTCTCCAGCCTTGTGATTCATTTAATTCCTACAGCAGGACTCATGGGATGGCAGTGGGCAGAATCCTTGGAAGCTGCTCAGGGCTTAAGTGTTTCCAGCTCTCCTGTGTCCTCTGAAGGTTAAGCTGCTGCAGGGAGGAAAAGTGAGGAATTCCTTTTCCCTTTTTGAGGAAAAGAACTGGACAGACCCTGCTTGGGTTGTGGGCAGATGTTGATGGTGTGTGCAGCCAGAGATGCTCCAGGACTTTGGAGCATCCAAGACTTCAGGACTCCAGGACTTCCCTCCCTGGATGGATGGACAGAGGGATGGACAGGGATGGATGGATGGATGGATGGATGGATGGATGGATGGATGGATGGATGGATGGATGGATGGATGGATGGGTGGATGGGTGGATGGGTGGATGGGTGGATGGGTGGATGGGTGGATGGGTGGGTGGATGGATGGATGGGTGGATGGGTGGGTGGATGGAAGGATGGATGAGGGATCGATGGATGGATGAGGGATCGGTGGATGGATGGAGCGATGGATGGACGGACCCATGCAGAACGCAAGGCGAGCGCTCCAGATCCGCACCGGTGCAAAGGCTGCAGGGCTGGGCCGTACCGGGACCCACAGGAGCCCCCCCGGGAGCCCCCGAAATTGCTCCGGGAGCAGCGCCCGCTCCTGAACGGGGCGAGGAGCCGGGCGTGAGAGCGGCGGGTCCGGGGTCTCCCTCAGCCCCGGGGTCTCCCTCAGCTCCGGGGCCTTTCCCGGTGCCCGGCGCCGCTTCCCGGGCCCGCGGGTCTCGCTGCCCCTTCACCACCCGGGCAGTTCCTCTCAAGCTCTACCCTTCCCGCTCCGCGGTCTGGGCCGGTTCTCCCGAGCACAGTTCCCCCGTTCCTCGCTGCCCAGTCCCGGTTTTCTCCCGGTCGCCGCCGCCCCTTTCTCCGGAAGTTGTGTGTGGCCTCTCCCCGACATGGCGGACCCGGAAGCGGCGCCAGGCGGCGGTGGCCGGGCGGGAGCCTGAGCCCCGGAGCCCCCGGGACCCCTCGGCACCCCCCGCCACCCYCGGACACAGGTAAGACCCGCTCCCTCCGGGCTCCTTCTTCCCACCGGCGCGGTCCCTCCGCGGGCGGCGGCAGCGGGCCCGTTCGGGCCGGGCTGGGGGGTTCGGTGGGGACGCGGCCCCCGGCCCGGACTGTCCCGGGAGCGGTCGGTCGGTGCCGCGGGGTGCCCGGGGGTTGCGGGGTTTTGGCCGGGTCCGGAGCAGCCCGTGGAGGCGGCAGCGGCGGCTCCGCTCCCCCCGGGCTTTGGCCGCCCGTGTCCCCCASGCGTGTCCGTCCCGGACCGCTCGGGGCTGTGCCGGTACCGGCAGCGCGTGTCTGCTTCGGACAGAGCCGGGGATGCTGCGGAGTCTCTGTGACCCCGATCCCGGTAAAGACCACACTCCTTCAACTCTGCCCGAGCCGGGTCCGAGCAAGGAATTTCCATGGCAGAGCCACAGCCAGCGAACCCTCGTGTTTCTGGCTCCCTCTTCAGCTGCTTTTCCGTAGAGCGCTGKAAGAAGTGCACAGCGATCACTGAATTATGGAACGGTTTGGGATGGAGGGACCTCAAAGCTCCTCCAGTTTCCTGGAACAGGGCGGGGACACTTTCCACTACCCCAGGTTTTTCCAAGCCCCGTCCAATCTCGCCTTGGGCACTTCCAGGGATGGGGCAGCCACAGCTTCTCTGGGCAACCYGTGCCAGGACCTCACCACYCTCACAKGGAAGGATTTCCTAATATCTAAACTTCCTCTCTGTCAATATGAAGTMATGAAACCATCATACACCGAGCTCCTGCTGTGGTGCAGCCCATACTGGCCCAATTCAGACCCTCTGCAATACGGAACTGGTATTGTCAGACCATTAACTGGGCTGGTACTGGAGGTTTCAGCTCATTAAATACTGGAGCTGGGTCTAAAACTTCTCAGAATAACCCTAAATTCCATCATAAGAACTACGGCTCCCCATCCCCAGGCTCAATTTACAGTGAAAATGAGATGGGCTGGGTAGGGCAGGTCCTGCAGGTTCAGCACTGGCATCCCAAAGCCATGATCCAAAGCCCCAGAGGATTTTCTGGTCCTTGCACTGGCCCTGGGGTGAGTCTGGAGGGTGGGAGGGTGTCGGCTGTGCCTCTTCAGGGCTGTCCCTGCTGTACATCATCCTCGTGTCATTGGAGCTTTGAGCTTGTCTTGAGCCAGGCGAGAGTGGCTGAACCGAGAGCAGCTGGTGGTGGGAATATTTAAGTGGAAAATGATGTGCTAATACTGTTGCTGTGGGGTTTGGGAGTGCTGTTCCGTGTAGCACTGCCAGGTTTTGTAGAGCTCCATCAGCTGCCAGCTGGAACCTTTGGAAGCCTGAGCTCTGTTATCTCTGCCACTTGCTCTTTACTTGATGGGAATCTGTTTGTTGGATGTTTACACTCCTCATTTTCGGAAAATAAGCCCATACCTGTCTTGTTCAAACATTTCTACAAAGCAGAAAAACCATGCTGTGACTTGTCACCATGAGAMTCTAGATCCCTCAGGAAACCCTTCCAGGCCTAATGGGAGGTTCATACTCTCCTGAGACATTTTTTTTTTGTTTAAAACTTGCAACTCTTCAGTGTTTTTTGGTAACATAATCGAAGTCTGCACAAGTATGGGTGTGATCAAGGTGAACACACGCCTCTCACGGAGCAGGTGCACGCTGARCCTGCCTTAAGGCTGTGCTGATCCCTAGGGAATTTGGCTTTGATGTCCAGGAGTGGTTTTTCCACCATGAGTGGCTGCGTGTGAAACAGAACGTCGGGACCTGCTCAGGTGCAGAGGGTTTCTCACAAATGTCTCTTGGGATTGAGATTGGGGGAAAAAAATGTAAAGAAAAAGTGTGAAGAATCAGGAACTTGCATTTTCTTGGCTCCTGASCTCAYTCAGYCAAGTGTTGGTGGAAGGGAAGCAGYCCCARTGCTCCCAGTGCYRTGCTCYGYTCTGCCCCATGCTGGGAAGTGTCCCAGCCCCTGTTTTGGGGAACATTCCATGCACCTGGAATATTCCCCAACTGAGCCACTGTCTCAGCCCAAATTCTACCGTGCAGGGAGGTATTTGTGGTTTGGGAATGTCGGTGCTGGATGTGTGTGGGGGATCCTGGGTGGATTTACACAGGAATGTGCTCAGTTTCTTGGCAGAGCGCAGGTGGTGTTTGGGGAGGCATTTTTGCCCTGTCCAGAAATAATCCTGTGTGTTCTCTCAGGTGGAAGAGCAGGGACAGGTGGAATGTGTGGGACAGTTGATATTTTCTCATAAAGAGGACTTATCCCCCCAAAAAGCTGTATTTGATTGGATTTCCCCTGTATGTTCTGAGTGTCAGACAAGGAGCAGCAAGCACTGCTTGAAGGCTCAAACTTTTCCTTTTCCCTCTCAAAACTCTGCTGTCCTGGGAGAGCAGATTTGTTCTTTTGCCTGCACTGCCACAGCTCTTGCAAGAAGCTCTGGAACAATCCCTATTTTTCTTTCCTTTCCTTACAGTCTGATTCCTGCAGTTAATTGATCTCACAGATTTTTCCACGCTGCAACTATGCAGTGACTTGTGGTGCCCAGGTGATGCCAGGATTTGCCCTGGAGCCTGTCAGTGCTGTGCCCAGGAGTTGCAGTCCCAGGAGTCTTTTCCATACCCAAAGCATTCAGGAGATCARAATAGCTCAAAATGCTGGCTTAGGATGCCCTGAAGTGATTCTGTTTTCATCACCCTTAATAAGTATTTTCCGCGCTGGTGTTCTTTATGCTGTGGGACTGAGTCCTATTCCCATCGGCTTCTTTGCTCTAAACTTCCCAAAAATACAGCAAGGAGAAGCATGAAAGAGGAACTTGAACGTGCCYGAGTGCTTAAGATGTAAAACTGGCTGTTCAGAGTTCCGTAGTGTTGAGTTCCCATTTCTTTGGGGCTGTTACATCCTGAGTGAATCCCACAGAATTCCCTCCACTGCAGCTCCCATGGGTGCCCAAATTGGGGGCTCTTGAGTGAGTAGAGCAGGGTGGGGACATTTTGGGGTTCCCCCATTGGGGTGGGCAGGGTGGGGGGAACTGATCCCAGAGCAGGAGGAGGAACAGGATCACGTTCCCGAGGTGTTTTTCTYGTGGTAATTCAGGTTTAGCTCCGGCTGCTCCGGGCATGCCTGTGGGTTCCTGGCTGTCTTCCTTTAACGGAGGCAGTTTAAAATACACCAACAAAGGATGGAACACAACAGGAGGAAGTGCTGCTTGCATTGACTGTGTTGTTTTCACCTCTCCTGGTTGTGGTTATCAGTGATCTGAGCCCTCACCCCTGGCTCTGTCCATCCTGGTTACTGCACAGCGGTTCTCTGTGTGTTCCAAATTGGAATTTTCCTGCTAGAGTTCTGGTCCGAGAAATGCCTAAAAAGCTCAAGCTGTTAAAAGCTGAAATTTGTGCTCTGTAACCTCTAGGTGTGATGAATTCCAGGCTGGAGATGCCCCTTAGTGCCTGTGCTGACAGCAAACCTTTAAGCCAACTGTTTGGAATATTGAAACTGTTCTTGSAGCTCAGTGATAGGATGAAATCACTCAGGGGCTTCGTCATCCCAAAGCTGCTTTCACTTTCAAACCTGGGCTGCTCGAGCAGGAAGGAACATATCCTGTGGGATTTTTAGGGCCGTGCCCCCCTCTGGATCTTGGGGATCGCTGCTGCAAGAAAACGTGGCTGAGGTGGTTGAAGTTGGGAACAGTCTCTGTGTGCTGCTGTGRGCTTGGCTTTGCTCTCCCAACCCTCTCCCAGCTCCAGTTCTGGGACCGGGAACCTCCTCTCCGGGGATTTGCCGTAACAGCGGAARCTGCTGCTTTTGCCGGAGTGTTTTTTGGTAAGAGAAGTGGTGGAAAAACACTTCAAAAGTTTGCTGTAGCAGTTTGTGTTATCAGTGTTTACTGTCACGGCAGCAGGATGGGATGTGGAAGTGGAAGCGCKTTGGAGTTGCTGATTTTCATGCTTTTCTGTGATGTGGCTGTCCGGGAGGATGGCGGGACAGGCGCAAACCAAGGGCTGTTCCCACTTCTCTGTTCTCATGCCGGGTGTTGTTCTGCCACCCTCGGGCTCACGCAAGCCTCTGACACTGCATTTTGTGAGGTTTTTATTTAGGTTTTACTTGGAATTTGGGTGTGTGAGCTGGACAGCAGCCCCTGGCACGTGTGTGTGAGCTGGGCCAGTCTCCACCTTTGTCACCAGGAGCCCGATGTCTCTGCTGTTACAGGAGCTCATTTYGCAGCACAAAGTTTTGGTTGCAGGTTGGATTTTGGGGTGTCCAGCAAGTGCTGCTGCCGTTTTTCTGGGATAAAAAATGCCCTCAGCATCCTCCAGGATCGAGGTGTTGCTGGAATGGTGCTGGCTGCAKAGAGAAGTTTGGTGAYTTTTTTTTTTTTTCCTGTTCTCAATACTTGGAAGTATTTTGGAGTTGCACAAACCTCCACAGAGCATTCCAGCTTCTCTCTAAGCAGTTTTCCTTCATTTTGCCAGGGGTGTGGGATCTGTTGTGCAGGGGTTTTCCTAGGGTGCTGCTTTAGAGGCAGAGTCCACCAATGAGATCTGRTGGTGTCACAAGACATGAGCTAATGCAGAACAGGCAGGGAGGGATTCTGATATTGATTTTAGGCTTCCTAAGTTCCTTTGGATGTGTAAGTAAAACTGTATATTTGCTACGGCTCTTACGGGAATCGCTGCTGCTGATTTCCTCTCAAAAGCTGCTGCAAATAGGGGGAAAAAAAAAGTAGCAAAATTCCTGAAGTGTGGTGAAAGGAAGAGTCACAGGCACCAGAGCATCTGGTGACATTGACCCTGAGATCTGCAAACCTCAGCCATGATTTGGTGCTGCTGAGCAGGAGTTGAAGGGAATCTTTACAGAATAGAACAGGGACACCTTCCCCCTCACAAAAAAAAACCCAAAAAAACTTTCAAACAATCCCTTTGGGGATTGGGATGTGAATGTTGGTCTCTGCTCTTCACCCCAAAGATCCTCAGAGCGTGAAGATCCACCACAGGATTGGGGTCCAGGCTTGGGGGTCCCTCTGGATCCTGCAGCCCCCACACAAACCCTGCCCAGAGGGCACTGCTGGCACAGCTGTGGCACCACGGGAAGGCARAAAGAGTCACTTTAATTTCACTTTCCATTGCAAACGCTGCAGTCATTTTGTCCACCGCAAGGTCACTTATTTTTAAAAAGGCCTCCATGTCAGAAATGGCTTTTCAAAAATATTCCTTGTAGCAAATGGTGTCTCCTGAATGATCAAAGGTGGCTGTTTTAAATTACAGCTTTGCTCTGTGCTCTGTAGGTGTTGTGTGTGGCTGGATTGCTTCATCCAAAGGTTTTGGCCACTTTGATTTACTTTGTCTCTGTGGAGGTTCAGGGAAGGCAGAAAAGGGCAAAGAAAGGAAGTAAAGACATCACAGATGCTTTTCTCTGCTCCTCTGGTTGTATGGGCTGCTTTCACCATCTCTTTTTTTTTTTTTTTCATTTTAATCCATTAAATCCAGTTGGAAATTGGTTTCCTTTGGGATTATGGAGAATTTCGAAGAAAATTAATCAGTTTGGAGATTTTGACTGACAAGCTGTGTTGGAGGCAGCATGTTACTGTGGGGTTAATCCTGCTAGGACAATGCTCCTGCATTAGATCCCCTTTGGCTGGCAGAAGGGAAAGTGCCAGAAGCTGATAAATTCAGGAATTTGTAGCATTAATATGACTAATTTCTAAAGTCTCACAGGGTACTGTCTGGTTTTGCTGGTGTGGGAAAGGTCTTGGTGCACAGAAAAAACATCTGCCTTGGAATCTGAGTGACCTCAGTGTGCCACAGGGTTGGAGATGAGGGTTCACTGCTGTTCAGCGGTGTCCCACCTCCAGAGCAAATTTTCAGGAAAACAAGTGATTTGGGGGGATTAATCACTGTGAGTTTGCACATGAGGAGAGCCTTTTTGTACCTCAGATAAGAGAATTCTGTGTGCAGTGACCTGGATAATCGGGGGACCCACGGTGTAAAAGGCAGCAGAGGTGTGCTCGGTTCTGATCTGGGTGAATTCCAGGTGTGGTGCTAATGGAGAGCTCTGTTTCCCATAAAACCCTCTCTCTTCTGAAGAGGCAGCAGCATTTCACAGGCTGGTGGCTGTTTGCTCATCTCTCAGCTATGTTTAAGCTCACAAGTGGTTTTTTTTTGGTTTTTTTTTTTCTCCCCACCTCCCCTTTCACAAAACCTAAACCGTGCCTTTCTTTCCCAGCCCAGGACATGGTGCAGGCTGAAGAGCACAGATAAAGACGCTCCCACCACTCACTCCACAGCCTGTCCCACCCTCCTGAGGACTCCATGAGGCAGGACAAGGGCTGATGGCCTCAGCTTACCCTGCCATGGATGGGGGGAACAGCTTTCCACAGCACCAGCAGCCGGGTGATGCCTTGTGTGGCATCCCTGGCCTCCGCTCCCAGCTCGCCGTGCCAGATCTGGAGGTGAGGTCCTGCAAATTTTGGGGAGGGGGAGGCTGTCCCCAGGAGGGGTCTGGGCAGAGCAGTCCGGTCTGGGAGTCCTGGTACGTGTTTACAGCAGTGATTTCCAAAATTTCCCAGACAGCTGTGCAGGATCAGAGGGGTTGAGATTGAAGTGGGGAGAGAAAAGCAGTGATTAAAACAAAATTTCTGAAAGCTGCTGGGTGCCAGCTCATTGGGGAAAGACTGAAGAGTGAGCCCAGGATTGCAGACAATCTCTCTGAGATGTGTGAATCTATGCCTAGGTCTAGCTGTGCCTGTTTCCAGAGCAGCAGAGATAAATAAATTGTATTTGTCCTGATGTAGCTGCTAAAACCAGACCAGGTCCTTCATGCATGTGTCCAACAGGGCAAAAAGCAAGCCCTGTCCCAAAATAGCTGACGTGTTCCTGGAGTTTTCTCTTTCCTGTTTCAAACTCTGGAATGTATCACACTCAGGGACACAGAGGTTTAAGCGAGGCCCAAGTGCCTTTTGCTTCAAGTACAAGGTTTGCTTGCTTTGGGCACACAAAGAACAGATTTAAGGCTGCTGTGGAGCTGAGTAAGGAGAGAGTGTGTTCTCTCCTGATTTTATTGGTGTGAGCTGAGCTATCCCGTTAATTGGAGACTGTTCAGGGAAGTGGGAAGGCAAAAGGCAGAAGGACAGAAGGACATTTTTGGGTGTGACCTCTGCCAGCCGATTTCAGATTATTGGGTTGGTTCTGGCATCCCACAGAGACTGAATCATAGAATCGTGGAATCATTGAGGTTRGAAAAGGCCTCTGAGGTYATGGAGTTCAACCTGTGACTGATCCCCACCTTGTCACCASACCAGAGCACTGAATGCCACATCCARTCCTTYCTTRGACACCTCCAGGGATGGGRAGYCCCACCACCTCCCCAGGCAGCCCCTTCCAGTSCCTGACCACCCTTTCCATGAAGAAATTCTCCCTGATGTCCACCCTGAACATCCCTTGATGCCATTTCCTCCTGTCCTGTCAGGGGACTGACCCTGGTGGCCTCCTGGGGACAGTGGAAGGGGAGCAGGTTCCAAAGCTAAAACTGGAGTTTTGCTTGAGCTGAGGAGCCACCTCTGCCTCTGGAAAGTGCTGTGGGAAGAAGCCACGGGCCTGCCCTGATTTCTGCAGCCCCAGGTAATGATTCCAGACCTCTGCTTCTCTAATTTGTGCTTTCTCCTTACAGAATTCCATGCTGGCCGCCGACTCATGGAGTAGCTGCTACCCAGGCTCTTTCCCAACCTCGTCTTTCCCAAGTGAAAACCAGTGAGTGCTGCTCTCCTTTGTCTAATCCCCTCTGCTCTTGCACACCCCGTGATTCAACTGTTTCTTTACTGCTTTCCATGTTTACTTTATTTCACGACTTGATGGGGAAATAATTGCATCACTCACTTGTGATCGTGGCATTTCAGATGTTTCTGCAGCTTGGAAACAGCAGCAAACAGCTTTTTTGTTTTTAAAAATGAGAGAAAACCTTTGTTTTTCTGGTAAACCTGGAGGCTGCAGTGAGGGAGGAACAGCCTTGGATTTGTAACASTAAAGGAATTCTTGACAGATCTGGCTGAACAAACACACTGGGCAGTTTCTAGCTTTGTACAGATGTGGAAGAAGGTGTTACCTGTACCAGGTGTCAGCTTTTGGGTGAAGTTAAAATCCTTTGCCACGTCACTGGAAGGGACTGACGCTAACAGCCATGTCATGTCTGTACTGAAAAAAGTTATTTTCCATCTTTAGAGTGAATCTCCATCCTGAATCACTGGACAACATAAAATGGTCTTGTGCCACCACTGAGTGATGTGGATGGGGGCTGTGTTGGGGCTGGGGGTTCAGAGGATGATCCATGGCTGCCTCACTCTCTGGGAATCCAGGGAGTGGCGCAGATAACACAGGATGTGTTCTTTATCTAGGTCAGAGGTGGGAGGARGGAGAATTGAAAGAAGCAGAACTTGATATCCAGAGCTTACTAACTGTGCTCCAGGTGCCTGGAATTAAATGGGGATTTGGTGTAACCTCCTTTCTAAAGGGATTTTGGTATCTTYGTGGTGGCATCCCTCTCTTGTGTGAGGGTGTGAGTTCCAGGGAGATGGGAACAGTGAGGATCAGCTCCTCTGTCACATCTTGTGTCCCTGTGTTGGTTCTGCTGCCCTGTTAGCCCTGATCCCYTCTGGCCACAGCAAAAATAGATGGACAGGGCAGTTCCCCACAAGATGGTACCAGAAGCTGCCCTAGAGATGCTGAAGGAGCTGGGCTGTGCCAGCTCCTCCCCACAGGAGAGCAGAGATTTCTCAGATCCATTCAGACCCTTTGCTCTYGGCCAGCCCGGCTGATTGGAAGGGGCTGTGCTTTTTGAGCAGGATTCCTGTAAATTACACGTTGTGAATCCTCCRGAGGGCTATAACAGAATTTCTGTTTTGCTGCATTGAACCACAAGATTAGATTGTGTTTATCTACTGCATTGGGTTTTTGATTTTTGTTTTTTTTTCTTTTCTTGACCGTTTGTTCTGGTTTTGCCCCTCACTCTCTTCCTGTTCGGTGCCGCTTGTGTCAGCGCTGCCAGGAACACCCCAATCCTGCAAGGACATGCCTGTGTCTGACACAAACCTGGACTTGCTGCCTTTGCTGRAGTTATTTCTGGAAATGAGGCCCATTGTAGTAATGATTTGCTAGGGACTGATTTAGCCAAAGCTTCACCTTTAGTTTCTTGTTCTTCATACCTGGGAGCTGTAAAAATCACCTTTCAGGTGAGGTTTTCCACATCTGCATTTCACATCAAAGAAGTCTGTGCTTTTTGTATTTGAAAATTGCACTGACTCAGGTGGGTTTAGAGTGAGGGGGTTACAGGTAGGAATCCTGAAAAGAATGGAATTATTGAAAACTGGGATTTTAAAGGTAGTTGTAATCGTAGCCCATGCTGTAACAGAAAAATGCAGCTGGCATTAGAGGTGGTGCACGTTTTTCCTCGGAATCCTTGCAGAGAAATCTCATTTGCAAGTGGCTGTGTTTGGACAGGGCTTATTCTCATAGCAACACCTTTATCACGAAGCAGGTTTTTCCTGTTTCCCTTTCAGTTCACTTTCATGCTAAGCAATTTCTTYGGAAGACCCCAAACGTGGCCTCTTTGGTTCAGATTTTCTTAACCTGACAAATGTCAACAGTGTATTAAACCTCTCTAAAAGAGCCAGGGAGCTTCAGGGCTCTGAAGAGCAGCAGCTTAGCTCTTTTCTGAGCAAATTATCCCTGCAGAGCTCATCTTCCCTTGAGGCTCAGCACATTCCTGGTTGGGGGGTCTGGTGCATCCCAGTTGTGCTGTTGGATGAGGTATCACACAGCTGCAGCAAAGTTTTGTCCTCACTTTCCAGAACACCTTTTCTTGCTGTTTTCATGCCCTTTTCCACTTCTTCATGGAGCTTTTCTCACTGAAATAGTGAAACAGGCTCTGAAAAACGTGGATTGGTGTCTGATGGGGAAAGAAAGTGCGGGGCTGGTGCTGAGGCCAGTTCTCCCTTATCTTCCACTGGCCTGGGATGTAAAGTTTGTGTCTCTGAGTGGAGGACAGAGGATGGASCCCAGCCAAAGCACACATAGGAGATCTCAAAGAAGTGGCACCGTGGGCCCAGCAGGGTTTTGGATGCATTGGGTCATGGATGAGCAGCTGGAATGCAGCGGAATTGCAACGGAGCGTTCCTCTTCGGGCGGCTGGTGTGATTAAACCAGCATAAATTTCCTTTCTGGAGCAGTTTTTGGCTGTCCAACTGAACCCACTCGGCCTCTGAGGGAAGCTGCTGACCCGCAGGATCTTCCATGGAGCAATTTGCCAGGAACTAAGCACTGGAGAGGCTCAGCAAGTGGACATGGGGCAGTTTGCTGCAGGCTGTGTTCACACCTCGGCYGTGACAGGGTCACTGACCYGATTCCTCCAGTGACAGCGTTTTTRTCCCAGTTTAATTCAAACGAACTTGTCAATGGCTCAATGCCAGCCCTGCAAATGAGGGGAAACAGCTTTGAGTTCTGGCTCAAGGGAAGGTAAAGCCCGGCTTCAAAGATTTCGATGGCTTTCCAATGAGAATCTCAGAGCAATGCCCAGAGCTGCTGTGGACTCTCCCTGCAAACTGCAGGAGCACATCTCTTCTGGACACATTGGAAAACCAGGATTAAAAGAAACAAAACACCAACCAGAGCTGGTCATTCCACAGCAGGGAGCTTGGGCTCTCTTGGTCTCCTTCCCATTACCTTGACTGACCCTTTTCCAGGCCACAGAGTGCCAGGGAAACAGGAGGGGGTGTTCACTTTTCCAGTAAAAATAGTTTTCCTATTCCTTGGTTAGTTCCTTGATGCTGGCCAAGCTCTGTCCTCGTGTGTGAGACGGCAAGACCACAGCGGCCTCGACTTGAAAGCCTTTTTAAACCAGCATTTTCCTKTGTGGAAATGCATTCATTCCCAGAATTTATGCCCAGATTTTAATTTCCTTGGATGGGTTAGGAGGAGCCAGCAGTGGGAGCTGTGATGAATTCTCACAGAGCCTCAGGTGTCTCTGCAGCAGGTAAAGCCAGAAAAGCRGCGCWGAAAAGAAGGAAGAAAAGAAAKGAGGAARGAGCTGTTCATTTTTGAGGATTTTACCTTTAGTGACGGGAAACGAGCAGGAAAARTGTATTTATCAGAGGAGATAACTGTGTTTGCACATAAATCCACCTATAAATGTTCACCAGGTGTGTTAATGAGCTTAATTGCTTAATAATCCTTTGGCAGCTCAGCATCCCCAGCTCCTGGGCGGGAATTCTGGAGTTTTGTTTCTCCCTCTCCCAGTGCCCCGGTCAMGTTTCTGTCACTCTGGCATGGGGGAGAAGGTACAACTCCCCACAAGAGGAAATAATCCAGCCAGGGTGGATGTTCAGTGGCTCCAGAGCYGAGGGTTTCGGTGGTGATTGCCCAAGCAGGAGCACAGCCCCTTACGGGAAGGATTACCAAGCACATTCCTTGCTCCTGCAGGAGAGAAAAAAAAAGGATTTGTGCCTGTGATAGCAAACCAGGAGGTGGCGTGGAGCAGAGGAAGGAAATTGGCTGCTCTGGTGCAGTTTTTGCTGCTGGCTGCCCTGAGGAAGCAGATTCTGGGAGCAGGAGGAAGCTGGCATTGCCCTGCCCAGGAGGAACCAGCAGCATCTTTGCTTTGTTCCCTGGTTAGCTGAGCAGAGATCCTTCCTTTGAACTCACACCAGGCAYATCCCCAGTTCCTCTCTCTGGGTAACAGTTCTGTCTGTGTTTCCTTGTGCCCAAGGAAAACTCCTTGGAAAACTTATGCTCCTTCTGTTTGGGGTCTGTGAGCAGTGAACCCCTGTCCAGCTGGGCYTRCAGGGATGTTTCCCTGTCAGAGCTGGTTTATGGGGCTCTTTTTGGGACCAAATTGGCATTCAGGATGTTTCCTTGTATCTCATATCCTTCCCTGTGCCTAATCCTTCTGTTTGGAGTCTGTGAGCAGTGAACCCCTGTCCAGCTGGGCCTGCAGGGATGTTTCCCTGTCAGAGCTGTTTTTTTCGGGCTGTTTTTGGGGTTTTGTGACCCAAATTGGCATTCAGGATGTTTCCTTGTATCTCATGTCCTTCCCTGTGCCCAACCCTTCTGTTTGGAGTCTGTGAGCAGTGAACCCCTGTCCAGCTGGGCCTGCAGGGATGTTTCCCTGTCAGAGCTGGTTTATGGGGCTCTTTTTGGGACCAAATTGGCATTCAGGATGCTTCCTTGTATCTCATGTCCTTCCTGTACCCATCCCTTCTGTTTGGAGTGTCTGAGCAGTGAACCCCTGTCCAGCTGGGCCAGCAGGGATGTTTCCCTGTCAGAGCTGGTTTATGGGGCTGTTTCTGGGGTTTTGTGACCCAAATTGGCATTCAGGTGTGAAGTTTCCTCGTACCTCATGTCCTTACACGATGTGATGCAGATTCCACCACACCCATCACCCTGGGATGTCCTAGGGGCTTCGTTCTGCTTTGTCATCAGAGCTGAAATATTGGGTACTGCAGGCCATTGTTACCTATTAAATCCTTCCTGCTTTGCACAAATTGCCAAGAATTATATTCTTAATTCAGCTCTTTTAAACCACTGAGTTTAAAACGTGGGATGGAACTACTGGAGATACTATTTTGCCTCTATCTCTCCTGAATAATATCCATAATAATAATAATATTACTGTCCTGTATGTGACATCCCAGAGTTTCAGTTTCACTGCTCCCAGATGCTGAAGTGATCTGGGAAGTGCTGGGGACTGACAGGGAGTAACTGCTTCTCTCATTTCCTTACAGGCAATATTTTAACCCCCCTCAGGAATTTTATGTGGATCCCATCAGCGGACCACATTTCTTGGATACAAACTATGCAACTGTGGACCCCACTGACTTTTTATCAAAAAATGGGGATTTTCCTCAGGTAAGTGCAGAGTTCCTGATGTCTTTGGGGGAAAACAGGGCTTTGGAGTGCTGGGGGTTATTTTTCAGTGTTGTTTTACTGAGGGGAAAGGAAGAGATGGGCAATGAATTTGTCCAGCTCTGGACAGGGATTGTGTGCAGCTGGGATCAGTCCTCTGACACCAGGAATTTGAAAGGTGTCCATGGTTTCATTGGAGTTTTTCTGTGGTAAAACTGTTTCTATCTTTTAAAGGGGTATTTGCTATAAACACTGGCAATGATGGGGGTGGTCCTGGCTGCAGGAGGGCCCCAAATTGTGAATTGAAAACACGTCAGACACTTAAATTATTTCCCTCCCAAAATGCTCTTGTGCTGCACGTGATTCCTCTCTGGTTAYAAGTGGTGGATTCCTGAATAGTGAATATTTAGGGATTACATCAACTCAGTGCCCAGCATTCCAAGCGTGGAGCCAGGTCAGTTTTTGCCAAACTGAAGTGTGGGAGGAAYGAACACTGACCCTGGGTCACTCAGCATCTCTGGRGACCCAGAGCTCCCTCACCTCGRGGATCTCTCTGGGTGGGAAAGAGCTCTTTCCWTGGAGGTTTAGGAATGTTTCACTGRCTTTTGGCARCATCTTATGGTAAGATTAGTCAGTAAGGACTGCAAGGAGTTGATATGAYAAAGCTGAYTTTGGAATAAAGAAAGARCTGGCTATATCCTTTCTAGGAATTAGTACAGACATTGCTGTCTGCCTGTGTATGTGTTCATTCCTCTCATTGTGTTTTGGTTTCTTGGTGTGGCTAAAGAGAGGTTTTGACCCTCCTTTGGGCCTCTGATTTCTGCAGGTTTGGATGTGGAGATGTTGGGGATTTGTGCTTTTTGAAGTGGCAGCTGGTGTGGTCTCCCCATCACATCAGGAACTCACCTGGGCAGCCACTGGGAGCTGCTGGTCAGGATCTCCTGGCTGGATTAAACCAGATAAATAATTGAATCACAGCAGCATCGATCTCTGCCTCCTGAAGAATTAATTGTGGGAGGAAYGAGGCAGAAAAGTGATCTCATCAACTCATGAGAGCATTTACTGGGCTGGGATGGCAAAGGGAGAGGGGTCCCCACCATAGGTCTTACTTCCAGGTCTGGTGTAGCTTAACGGGAAAAGGGCTTAATTATTTCTTTAAATTATGTATTTTCTAGTATCTCAGTGGTCAGTTAGCTTCCTTCCCTGCTGCATCACAGGAATTGATCTCAGTCAGCTTGGACGAGCAGATTTTTGGAGATTTTTTTTAAAGGAGATGCTTTTTTTAAAGGTGTTGGCTGGGTAAGAAAAGAGCAGAAGGTTCTGAGACAAACYTCAAATGATTCCCAGAGCAAGGAATAATTCTTGTTCATCTCTCATCCTTTGGGAGAGGGAGCCATGCATGGGAGCAAGATGATTTTAGGCAATTGGGTTTTGGTTTGGGCTCTTTCTTTCTGTAGTGAGACTGCACTGACATGGAAATCATGGGTAAACCCCAGAGCTCTCTGAACCACCAGGAATTGCTCATCCAGAGAAAAAACTGCAGATTTGCTCCCAGGAGCCAGAGCTGGAGCTTGGCTCTGGTAGAGCAGCAGTCCCTGAACTGGAGGCAGTGACACCAGTCTGGAGCCATCTAGGAGCATCCTGATGCTTTTCCAGCCCTTTCTTCAGCAGTGTTTTCCATTTTACTGATTYCTCATTATCCCAGATTGTTAATTATTGACATTCAGCTTGGGAAGCTGAAACATGYCATCCTGGGTGATTCCATTTTTCCAGGTGGTTTACAGGAAAGTACCTGTCTTTTCCAAACTTTCCTGCTGCCATGGTAGGAGTGGTGAGTGCTGGTCTGATCGTGCCAGATGGAGCAGCAGAGCCAAAAGGGGAGCATGAGGAGTCTGCTGGAGGTGCTGTAAGAGATTCCTGATCCAATTTTTGCTCTTTGGGCAGACAGGATGGATCAGGTGCTTCTGAGAGGGTTCATGCTGCTCCACACATGAATACAGACTGTTCTCTTGGCTTTGCTCTGAAGCAAAATCCACAATTTTGAGGAATRATGAGGAAGGATTTAAAAGGTCTAAAGAGGAAGTGATTGACTGAGGCATTTGTGTGGCAAATCCTCTGTATTGGTGACAGTGATTCTCCATGTGCTGTAGGGTTTGGAGAGCAGGAACTCCGGTGCTTTATCCTCTGCCATTGGCATTTCCTCCCCTTATCCTTCCCTGTTTCATTTTGGGAATCCTCAGCTGGACCTGCAGAGTGACCTGGGGATGCTGAGAGTGGGAATTGCCACATTTTCTAACAGCTCTGGGAGTTTTTCTGTAGTTGAACCATTCACCTCGTTGGGCGGGGAAGGTGCTGCACCTCATGGCCAGAACAGCCTGATGTGAACTTGAACTTGTTTCCTCCACARTATTTTTGGGTTCTGGCTGGCTCCTGGGTGATTCATCCTTGCCGATCTGTTGGCATTTTTTATATAAACAAGTGGCTTGAGCAGWGGTTCAGAAAATACTTCTGGGAGGCCACGTTGGGTCTGACAGCGTTTCTGCTCTTGGGAACCATTGTCTTCGGCCAAAGTCTCATCCCAACCACACAGTGCCATCTCCTCATGGAAAAGTCCACGTGTCCWTAGAAATCACAGTCCTGAGAGAAGCAGGGTTTGGTTTCTGTTGCTTTCCCTCCCTTCCTGCTGGTTATTCCTGCAGTTTCAGGTGCTGCTGAGTTGGGTGCTYGTGTGAGCAGAAGTTCTGCAAAGGCGCTGTGGCTGTGGCAGTGCTGTCTTGTGACACTGATGTAAAGAGCTGTGGATTACCACAGGAAAGCACTGAATCCAGGAGGGTTTAATTTATCCTCTGTGAGCTGTATTTGTCTCCAGAGCCTCATAAAGACAGAGCACCCTGCTCTAGGAGAGCGTTCCTGCTGTGTAATATCTRCTGCTCTTGACCTCCACAGATTTTTCTTTGACTTCACTGCTCTGGTCAGTTTAGAATTAATTGAAGCACAGACTCTGCCCAGTTCCTCTGAGCCCTCTGTTATCTCTGATGGCCCTGCCTGTTGCTGGCAGTCTGTGTTCCCTTKGCTTCATTTTTTTGTGGCTTTTTGTGGTTCCAGAACAGGACCTTGCTGAACGCACAGAAACCTCCTCTGCTGATTTTGTGTACCCTGAGATCCACTGAGAAATAAATCTGTCAGGGGGAAGGGGAGGAAAGCAGCTCYAGGGCAAAATGGAGCTGGGGACATGGTGGGTGTGCAGATCCTCCTCCCCTCAGTGAAGCAGCTCTGGGATTTGGGAGGAGCTCTGGTCCCCTTCTTAAAATGTGGGTTTTGCTTGGACTGAAGGGAATAGGTCAGGCCTGATGGATTTATCTGGCCTGGAGGAATTGGAATTGGCTGCTCCCAGGCAGAGTCACCTTCAGTAACACCATAAAGATGCAGTTCCAGCCCTGTTTGATCTGTGCTGGATGGGGGCTCCTGACCACAAATGTGAACCATAAACCAACCCTCTCCTCACCACCAGCCCCCTTGCAATCTCCTGTTAATCTTCCTTGTTAAAGCAGGAGGAGAAATTAACCTGCTCTTAAAAAAAGGTATTAATTTTTACAAGTGCTTCGGTGCACAGAGCTGCGGTGATTTAGGAGAAATCAATGCAGCAGTTATTAAATTATATGGAACACTTGGTTGTGGCTCAAACAAAGAGTTTCCTGGAATAAGAAACGTCCTGGAAGTTCTGCTGCTGTCCTGGAGTTATGTCTACAGGGAACACAAGGCATTAAAATCCATTTGCAGGCASTTACCTGGCTCTGAGGCTGTGGGAGAACAAGTGGCTGTGCATGTTCGTGTCTGTTTTTGCACTGCAGTTTTGGGGTTTGGGCTGATGTAATAATGTTTTATAACCCCTCTGGGTRAGATACCTGACACTTCCTGCAGGCCTGGGGTAAGAAAAGTGAAGGCTGTGGTTAGAACAACTGACTAAGGGCTTGGTGTGCTCCAATTTAGGCACCCTGAGCTGGTTCCCAGGAAGAGAGGAGGTGTGATTTGGCTTTTGAGGTGTAATTTATTGTCAGTGGATTRCAGGAGCCTCCCAGGATGTGGCCCTGGGGAAGGGGTACAAGAGTCTGGAGGGCTCAGGTATCCCCCCCTCTATTCCAGTCTTGATAATTTTAATTTGCCTTGCTGCCTCCAGGCAGTGATGCCCACTCTGGGCAGGAGGGGATGGAGATCTGCCTTCTGAGGTTCTTGGCAGGCTCCATTCCCTGCCTCCTCCCTTCCCAAAGCCAACAAAAGCGGGAAAAGCCGCTCTGAAATGCTCAGTGCTCTCAAAAGTGCTGGTAATAGAATCCAATAGCARGCCATGGGGACGTGGTTTAAAATAGATGCTTTAATTCAAAGCAGAGTCAGTCTGAGTCAGGGGGTGCAGAAGGTTCCCCCAGCACAGCAACTCCACGGGTTTGGCTGGAACAGGATAACTCAAATGTGAGTGCTGGAATAACCCTTTTTTCCTTTTCCCTGTCAGTCAGCACACATATTCTTGGATGAGCTGTGGGGAGCAGGATTACCTCTCCCCTCAGCTGGGAACATTCCAGGTGGTGGTTCCATGGTGGTTTTACCTTCCCYGTGGTGGTTTTACCTTCCCYGTGGTGATTACACCACTGTGGTCTCACAAAATCGATGCAGCAGCCCTGGGTGTCTGCACCACATTCCCGCTTCCTTCAGGGCTCCTTTGTCTGCATTTTGCCCCCAGTGACGGAAAAGGAGGAGGAAATRTTCCACCTGCTCTTCCAAAGGTTGYATAAATTGTGAGAACTTGATTGGCGTGGTGGTTCAGTCAAGGTCACGCAGCAAGGCGCTAATTAAGATATTTCAGAAATTAATTCATCCCTCTTCRCTCCACACGTGTCGTTAAAGCACCTGCCCCGCACAGCCTGGCCTTAAAAACACAGCAAATTCTGAGAAAAGCAGCTGTGAGAACCCTCAGCCTTTCTCCACCCCGAGGCTGCTGCCCACAGAAA